GGGGGGCTTTGGGTGCCCCGTCAGCCTGGCTGGGGTGAGCAGGGGGGCTTTGGGTGCCCCGTCAGCCTGGCTGGGGTGAGCAGGGGGGCTTTGGGTGCCCCGTCAGCCTGGCTGGGGTGAGCAGGGGGGCTTTGGGTGCCCCGTCAGCCTGGCTGGGGTGAGCAGGGGGGCTTTGGGTGCCCCGTCAGCCTGGCTGGGGTGAGCAGGGGGGCTTTGGGTGCCCCGTCAGCCTGGCTGGGGTGAGCAGGGGGGCTTTGGGTGCCCCGTCAGCCTGGCTGGGGTGAGCAGGGGGGCTTTGGGTGCCCCGTCAGCCTGGCTGGGGTGAGCAGGGGGGCTTTGGGTGCCCCGTCAGCCTGGCTGGGGTGAGCAGGGGGGCTTTGGGTGCCCCGTCAGCCTGGCTGGGGTGAGCAGGGGGGCTTTGGGTGCCCCGTCAGCCTGGCTGGGGTGAGCAGGGGGGCTTTGGGTGCCCCGTCAGCCTGGCTGGGGTGAGCAGGGGGGCTTTGGGTGCCCCGTCAGCCTGGCTGGGGTGAGCAGGGGGGCTTTGGGTGCCCCGTCAGCCTGGCTGGGGTGAGCAGGGGGGCTTTGGGTGCCCCGTCAGCCTGGCTGGGGTGAGCAGGGGGGCTTTGGGTGCCCCGTCAGCCTGGCTGGGGTGAGCAGGGGGGCTTTGGGTGCCCCGTCAGCCTGGCTGGGGTGAGCAGGGGGGCTTTGGGTGCCCCGTCAGCCTGGCTGGGGTGAGCAGGGGGGCTTTGGGTGCCCCGTCAGCCTGGCTGGGGTGAGCAGGGGGGCTTTGGGTGCCCCGTCAGCCTGGCTGGGGTGAGCAGGGGGGCTTTGGGTGCCCCGTCAGCCTGGCTGGGGTGAGCAGGGGGGCTTTGGGTGCCCCGTCAGCCTGGCTGGGGTGAGCAGGGGGGCTTTGGGTGCCCCGTCAGCCTGGCTGGGGTGAGCAGGGGGGCTTTGGGTGCCCCGTCAGCCTGGCTGGGGTGAGCAGGGGGGCTTTGGGTGCCCCGTCAGCCTGGCTGGGGTGAGCAGGGGGGCTTTGGGTGCCCCGTCAGCCTGGCTGGGGTGAGCAGGGGGGCTTTGGGTGCCCCGTCAGCCTGGCTGGGGTGAGCAGGGGGGCTTTGGGTGCCCCGTCAGCCTGGCTGGGGTGAGCAGGGGGGCTTTGGGTGCCCCGTCAGCCTGGCTGGGGTGAGCAGGGGGGCTTTGGGTGCCCCGTCAGCCTGGCTGGGGTGAGCAGGGGGGCTTTGGGTGCCCCGTCAGCCTGGCTGGGGTGAGCAGGGGGGCTTTGGGTGCCCCGTCAGCCTGGCTGGGGTGAGCAGGGGGGCTTTGGGTGCCCCGTCAGCCTGGCTGGGGTGAGCAGGGGGGCTTTGGGTGCCCCGTCAGCCTGGCTGGGGTGAGCAGGGGGGCTTTGGGTGCCCCGTCAGCCTGGCTGGGGTGAGCAGGGGGGCTTTGGGTGCCCCGTCAGCCTGGCTGGGGTGAGCAGGGGGGCTTTGGGTGCCCCGTCAGCCTGGCTGGGGTGAGCAGGGGGGCTTTGGGTGCCCCGTCAGCCTGGCTGGGGTGAGCAGGGGGGCTTTGGGTGCCCCGTCAGCCTGGCTGGGGTGAGCAGGGGGGCTTTGGGTGCCCCGTCAGCCTGGCTGGGGTGAGCAGGGGGGCTTTGGGTGCCCCGTCAGCCTGGCTGGGGTGAGCAGGGGGGCTTTGGGTGCCCCGTCAGCCTGGCTGGGGTGAGCAGGGGGGCTTTGGGTGCCCCGTCAGCCTGGCTGGGGTGAGCAGGGGGGCTTTGGGTGCCCCGTCAGCCTGGCTGGGGTGAGCAGGGGGGCTTTGGGTGCCCCGTCAGCCTGGCTGGGGTGAGCAGGGGGGCTTTGGGTGCCCCGTCAGCCTGGCTGGGGTGAGCAGGGGGGCTTTGGGTGCCCCGTCAGCCTGGCTGGGGTGAGCAGGGGGGCTTTGGGTGCCCCGTCAGCCTGGCTGGGGTGAGCAGGGGGGCTTTGGGTGCCCCGTCAGCCTGGCTGGGGTGAGCAGGGGGGCTTTGGGTGCCCCGTCAGCCTGGCTGGGGTGAGCAGGGGGGCTTTGGGTGCCCCGTCAGCCTGGCTGGGGTGAGCAGGGGGGCTTTGGGTGCCCCGTCAGCCTGGCTGGGGTGAGCAGGGGGGCTTTGGGTGCCCCGTCAGCCTGGCTGGGGTGAGCAGGGGGGCTTTGGGTGCCCCGTCAGCCTGGCTGGGGTGAGCAGGGGGGCTTTGGGTGCCCCGTCAGCCTGGCTGGGGTGAGCAGGGGGGCTTTGGGTGCCCCGTCAGCCTGGCTGGGGTGAGCAGGGGGGCTTTGGGTGCCCCGTCAGCCTGGCTGGGGTGAGCAGGGGGGCTTTGGGTGCCCCGTCAGCCTGGCTGGGGTGAGCAGGGGGGCTTTGGGTGCCCCGTCAGCCTGGCTGGGGTGAGCAGGGGGGCTTTGGGTGCCCTGTCAGCCTGACTGGGGTGAGCAGGGGGGGTTTGGGTGCTCCATCAGCCTGGCTGGGGTGAGCAGGGGGGTTTTGGGTGCCCGATCAGCCTGGCTGGGGTGCCAGGGGGATGAGCAGGGGGTGCTGATGGCTGTCCCTCTGGCCTCCTTCTCCCCAGACGTGGGTGGCCCGGCCGATCCCATCGCACCCACCATCATTGTCCCACCCAGGAACACCAGCGTGGTGGCCGGGACCTCGGAGGTGACCATGGAGTGTGTGGCCAACGCCAGGCAAGTAGCGTCAGGGCAGGCGGGATGGGGACAGGAACGGGGCGTCTCCCCGTTGGCATCACCCAGCCCCAGGGTGCCCCCTGGACCCTTCCTTCCCCACCCTGCAGAGCTCCTGGGTCCTGTGGGATGGAGAGAAAGGGGGAATGAATTTTTCAGGATCTGGGGGAACTTGGGCTGGCTTTTGACGTGCTCCCGGCCCCCCCAGGCCGCTGATCAAGCTGCACATCATCTGGAAGAAGGACGGGGTGCCCCTCTCCAGCGGCATCAGCGACTACAGCCGCCGCCTCACCATCCTCAACCCCGCGCTGAGCGACAGCGGCTACTACGAGTGCGAGGCCGTGCTCCGCAGCAGCAGCGTGCCCGCCGTGGCCGAGGGCGCCTACCTCTCCGTCCTGGGTGAGCCCAAACCACACGTGCAATGAGTTGGGGGTGGTCTCAACCCCGGGGGCTGAGATGGGAAGTGCCTGGGGGCGGTTTGATGCTGGGTCCTGCCCATCGCTGGGTTTCCCTTTGCAGAGCCGCCGCAGTTCGTCAAGGAGCCGGAGAGGCACATCACGGCCGAGATGGAGAAGGTGGTGGCCATCCCCTGCCAAGCCAAAGGTGAGACCCTCCCCAGCTGCCCTCCCCGTGCCGCTGCGGCCCCGTGTGCCTGACGGGACCCCTGGCCCTTGCAGGTGTGCCCCCCCCGGAGATGGCCTGGTACAAGGACGCTGCCCTCATCCGCCTGGAGAAGTTGTCCCGCTTCCAGCTCCTGGCAGACGGCAGCCTGCAGATCAGCGGGCTGGACCCCGACGACACCGGCATGTTCCAGTGCTTCGCCCGCAACGCGGCCGGCGAGGTGCAGACCACCACGTACTTGGCTGTGACCAGTAGGTGCCAGTCACCCCCACCTTGGCGAACCTGGGACCCCCCACTTGGGCTCTGTGCACCTTCCCGTGGGGGTGGGACTCCCCTCGGAGCAGATCAGCCCCAGGCTGGGCGCCGGGAAGAGCTTCAGCGGTGGCCGTGTGTCTGTCTGCCCCACAGGCATCGCCCCCAACATCACCAGGGGCCCCCAGGACAGCACGGTGATCGACGGCATGTCCGTGATCCTCAACTGCGAGACCTCGGGGGCTCCGCGCCCGGCCATCACGTGGCAGAAAGGTAACGGGGCTGGGGGTGCTGGGCTCCGAGCCCCGCAGCCGCTCTGCCCGTCCCTGCCTGCCCGCGTGGCCCCGAGGCAACCTCTGCGGGCTCGGTGGCCACTGGATCAGTTGGCTGGCTGGTGGCTGGGGCACGGAGAGCTGATGGGGCTCCCCCGTCCCGCCCAGGGGAGCGGATCCTGGCCAGCGGCTCCGTGCAGCTCCCGCGCTTCACCCTGCTGGAGTCGGGCAGCCTGCTCGTCAGCCCCGCGCACCTCGCCGACGCCGGCACCTACGCCTGCCTGGCCACCAACTCCCGCGGCGTGGACGAGGCATCTGCCGACCTGGTCGTCTGGGGTAAGGCGACTCTGCCTGCGCCCTGCCTGCTGCCCTGCCTGTGGGCAACTGGGGCCGGCTGGGCCCTGCCCGGCTCCCGCCGCACGTGGTGCGGGATGGAGCTCCCTGGGGATGCCAAGGGTGGGCACCGGCACCTGGCTGCACAGTTCGGATGGGTGCAAGTGTGGGCTGTCCCCTGCCGCTGCCACCCCCAGCAGTGCCACTGCCTCACCCTGTCCCCCACCCCTGCAGCAAGGACACGCATCACCGACCCCCCCCAGGACCAGAGTGTCATCAAGGGGACCAAAGCCATCATGAGCTGCGGGGTCACTCACGACCCCAGCGTGGACGTCAGGTGTGTGTGACGGGGCTGAGAGGGTTTGGGGGGGTCCAGGCCCCCCGCACAGGCTGCCTGCCTGCAGATAGGGGGTGCCACCATGCCCAGCCCTGCGCTGCTGGTCCTGCAGTGCCACCTGGTGCCCTGCCACGGGGAGCCTGGCACGTCGGTGAGACCCCTGGTCCCCTCTCCTTGTTGGTGGGGGGGTGCAGGGTGCCAGGACTCTTGGGTCCCCCTCCTTGGTACAGGTACGTCTGGGAGAAGGACGGGGCACCGCTGAGCCCGGAGAGCGGCCCACGGCTGCGCCTGGACGAGACGGGCACCCTCCACATCTCCCAGACCTGGTCGGGTGACATCGGCACCTACACCTGCAAGGTGCTCTCGGCCGGGGGCAACGACTCGCGCAGCGCCC